GTAGATATTAGTGTACCAATTCTCGCTCAGCTAAATTAATAAAGAATATTGACAAAAAAAATAATAATTAATGTAAAGATACATTAATAAACATGTTTTGAATCAGATAAAACATTAACATTAACGATATGATTTATTTTAAAGCACAGTAAAACTAAATAAAATTGCTCATATCTTAGCCTAGTTCTTAAGATGCCCGTAGTTATAACTCGTGTGGCAAAAGTTGATTGCGAATTGATTTTTTTTCTAAAATTGTAGAACTTAATTTAAGTATATAAATATTGGGTGTACATCTCGAAATGTTTATTTATAAGCCTATATTTTTTTTTCTTCATTTTACTCACTTTAAAAATTAATATAATTGATTGATCATAAAAGTGAGCGAATATAGGTACATGAGCGAATATACCCCCGTTGACCTTATAGATCCAGCGTTGTTCTGACTACGATTCAACGGTCGAACTCGATGGAAAAAAATATTGGTGGCGCCGTGGCGGCTCAGTCTCACAACTTCCAGTCGAGCAGACAGATCTTGGGGCGCGAAAAGAATTTCGAATTTTGACATGAAACATCTTTATCGGCGTTTGGTATGAGGAGTAAACCCGTGAAAAACGAGCGTCCGTTCGTCCGAGCGAACGCAACTTTAGTATCATAAGTGCCTATACAGCTTCGGTTTGCGCTACGATCGGTTTCCGCGCTATTATAGTTACATCGAACTCGCTGATTATTGTTTGCTGCTGCTTATGCCGAGACTTGCCGCGCGTGTATCTTTCTCTGACTGTGTTTTTTACGTATAACACACGAGGCAATGTAAGAGCATAAGCAACGGCAGTCAGCGTAGCTCGCGGATTTGACTACGTCGAGTAGGCCGGGGATTATATAGCTAAAAAAGAGGTAATTTGTGACTAAGAAAATTCCTGCAATCGAACTCGGTAGATGTATAAAGTAATGAAAATGTGCCATTGTGGTGAGAATGTACGAAACCAATTATTGTTTATAACGAAATGGCGTCCGAAAAACTGAAAAAATAAACAGATAGTGTGTTTTTTTCGTGCGCACTCATTGCGAGTGCAGTAAGTAAGTTTCAGGTAATCGCAAGACCTTTAAAATGATGTAGATTGGTGATTTAAAAAATCACTTTTCATCGAGATATTCACGAAAAACCAAATAAAATTCATAATTCTTCGAAAATTCATATCACCCTTGCTTTTTATTTTACTGAATTAAGATTTAGCGAGAAAGTATTTTAAATTATCTTCAAAATACATAAAAAATTGAAATCTCTAAGTCTTATATTTTTCTCGTTATCGCTGATTCAAAATTTAATTTTTATTTTTTCGTGTTTTCTCGAAGCTCATTATTGCCCAACGAAAGAAGCAATCTTAATTTAATCACCGGTTTAAGAAATTACAAATGTCATAAATACCCAACGATGTCCACTCGATGCGCTAGGCTAATATTTTAATTCATCCATAAATAATTTTAAAAAACCTTTAAAATACCATAATTCATTTTATTTATTTGAATGACATGATAAATCTGCAGAATTTATGGACATGAAACATAAAAATTGTTGCTAATATGCTTGTCAACGTCACGAGCTTTGGCCTGCAGCCGCCAAGCAAATATGATATAAATCTTCATTATTCAGCTTTTTGATAATTATTTCACAACAGAGAATAGGCAGTTTATAGCGTGTCAGCTCCACGAAAGGATCCAATGCCCAATCGCAAAAAAATTGTCTCGCCATCATCTCGGAAAGATGCAAATTGTAATAATTTGGCTTCCAAGGCCTGCTGATACGGTTGAATTCTTTGGTATGTACAAACTCGTAAAACTCCTGAAATGTTAGTTTTCTCGTCGCCTCTTCGGGTCGTAACAGCATCAAATCGTAGAGCGACAGATTCGGCTTTATCATCATCGTTTTTGCCTTGCTCACAAAGTCCTCGTCGCTACGCCAACGTCGGTATAACTCGGACGGATCGCGTCTAGCTAACAATTTCATGATGATCAGGGCTTCGCTTCGGTCCAATTCGTATCCTCTTTTCTCGAGATGCTCGACGACCAACATGGCCCGAGACACTAGTTTCAAGTGGAAAACCCTGCGCATGTTACTATTCGTGTATCTCTCGCGTACAAAGCAACTCTCGTCGGGAAAAGTGAAACTCGACAAAGTAGCTCCGTGATCCAAGAGTAAATCGACGGCATTCGGCATAAGACTCGCCACGGCATATTGAAGCGGTGTTCTGCCCAACTTGTCCTGAGCATCGACCTGCACCAGCTGATTTATTTCGTCGGTGACCTTGAAAAATAACTTCGTCAAACCATCATCGTGATAGCTCTTATCTTTTCCGTGGAAAATGATGTGCAGAGCAGTCGAACCCTCGACGTTGGCCAAGTTTGGGTTGCACCATTTCTCAACAGCCCTTCGGCCATCGCCTCGCGTCTGTTATACAAAGCCAAGTGCAACGGTGTGTTACCCATCTTATCTAGCACATCGACTCGCGCTCCATAACTGATTGTACCACTCACATTACATAACGTC